TTATTTCTTTCGTTCTTTACTTTTCCTTTTCTTGTATTTTTTCTTTTATTATTATTTTTTTAATAGGTACGATATATAATATTCATACAATTATACAACGACAATTGCACGGGACATTATATCTATGTATATGTATATAGATTCGCATTTATATACATATAGATAGTTCCGATATATCGCGCGTCGTTCTTTATAACTCTAACGTTTCGGAAACGCGTTTACACACCCATTAGACATTAGGTGCCGCGTCCCTCTTCATTCTCTCGACATTATGAAATTTCATGAAATTCATTGGCGAAAAATACTCTGAAAGGCGCGACGAATGAGAAATGCTTATCGCCGACTATCCTTCGCTCGCTCCCGACGCGCTATCGGCCTCCACCATTCACGATCCGCATCGTTATTTATACCCAGTGACGAATCATCGCTCGTGAAATCAGAAATTCACCGCCACACCGGAATGATATACGGCGGCGCCGCTACCTGGGAATGTACACGCGTCATTTCTTTATCCGTTCTCTTACCGTTCGACGGGATTCGCGCAATCCCGACGATAGACGCCCCTAACTCTCCTCCTCAACTCCCAACTTTTTCATCGGTTTTCATGAAAATTCAAGGAACAACCTTCGCTCCCGCGGAAAATAGAATTACGCCGAATCTCGACCGCGGTCGAGCCGCCATTCGATAACTCCACCGACATCGTCATCGATCCCTCAACCCCGCTGAACAACACCCGACTCGAACCTCGATGATGCGCCCATCTTCGACGGCGAGCTCCACCTTAAAACTCTCGTTGGAGTCACTACCACTTCGTCTAGGATCTACTTGTAAATTGACGTGTTGTCGCGAACGCGAGTCGTTCGAGGCAGGAATCTTTTTGCGTCCCCTTCGAGTAGCCGAGAGACATCTAAATCGTCGTTGCTACACGCTTTATTTTATACTGGTTCTTCGCTCCCTTCTCTCCGTAAGTGTAGTAAAATAAGTAGGTACGTGAACTTTTTTCATAGAATATGTATTGATAAATATTCGGAATAGAAAATTCGAAAATTTCATATGGAAATTAATGTAAGGTAAGTAATATAAGGTAAGAAATACTGACGTACTGTATTTTTGGTATCTTCATTTGAAATTCTTTGGTAATTACTTAATATATGGTAGATTGGTATATATGTGTATATACAGGGTAGATTGTTAATATTTATACACTGATACATCTTTGGCAATGTTCTGTTCTCCAAATAAAATGGATTCTACAGTAGAATCTTTGGTAATTTGAGTGAAACTAAAACTGGAGAGAAGGGTCGTGCGATGAACCGATGATCTGTCGCTAAACGTTGCCCAGCAAAACGGACCGTTTGCTTCTTTCTAAGTTTTGAACACTTCATTTTTATTGTCCTACTAAATCTGCCGTTTGCTAACCGACTACGAAAACACTACCAGTCTTTTGCGATTCGTTTGTTTCGTTGCTATAATACCTAATCTTTGGCTACGAGAGAAACGAGGCCCCATAGGTGACTAACCGAGTTCTTTAGAACAGACCTATATCATCTACTACCAGTTTATATCTTTTTCTTCTTCAACGCTACGATCACAGTTTTACTGCACTGAGCTTCTCGAGCAGTCTCGCGAGAATTTGTTCACTCCCGGATACGAATTCGGGAAATAAAAAGGAATGGCTTTGACTAATCTACTTTACATTGCACTTTTCGATATGTCTTCAATTGCATTCTAATCCGGATTAGAAATCAACTGCCGGTAAGATAGTCCGTAGAAATACTTTCTGGGAAACGAAGGCGACGACAACTCCTACACCAGGAATGTAAGATGTACCGTAGAAAGGCGTACTGTATCCCGTTTAAATAATCTACAGCTACATAGAAAATAATAGCGTAACAATTATTTTAATACTGTATTGCATTGGTTTAACGGGATACCAATACGCCGCATAGGCCCTCACAAATCGAGCCAGATGCAATCCCCTCATTTTTGCACTGATTTGCTAACACCGGACCATTTTGCGTCCAATAAGCTACAAAACTAGACCTAACCTACCAAATTTGTACCATTTTGTGGCACGTCTGATTGACCAATAGCAATGCTGGATAAAATGAACATTATATTTCAAAACGCATATACAACATTGAAACTCAAATGTTTGATTAATTGAGATAACTTTTTAAAATAAGACTTTACACTAAAATATTTCTGTTTAATAAAAATATTACACAAAAATAACGATTTAACAACATTAGACATTGTATCGCAAATTAAAAAACATAAACAATAATAAGTTTCAACGTAGAAAGCTAATAGATAATTATTTGAAAAAGGAGCCTCTGTATCGAATAAAATTAATTCAATACTGGTTTGGCTTGTAGCGCAATTTATAATTATGAATTTATTAATAACTGCCATCCAGCGACTAATCCTAAATACGGTCGACAAAGTACAACGTATAATATCAAATATATTTCTGAATCTACCACAAGGACTAAGGCTGAGCTGCGTTAACATGTCTAGGGTCACATACCCTAACGTCACTTAAATTTACGAACAGATCCCTTTTTCTAAACAATTACCAAACGTCCTTAATCCCCAATTAATAATCTGAACCAAAAACCATTCCAAATATTTGCACCCAAAATTTCATCTAGCCCCGATCAACAAAGACGCGAGTCTCCTCCGTAATTACCTCAAAAATAAAAACCTCTACACTACTCGTTGTCCTAGCTCCGTCGAATCGATCAGTCTACCGAGCATCAAATAAATAAATCCATAAAAGGCAGCCGAATTCAAGGATGCGGACACGAGAAAAAAACCTGCCCCCAAATATTTCGAATCTGGGCCCGCTACTGGGGCCTGGTTAGGGGCGTCAGTATCGTCGGTCATAGTCCGATCGTAGGTATCGGATGGTAAACGGCACCCATGTCGAGGCCCTGAACGCCGAGCAGGTCGCTCATCGAGTAAGTGAGAGTGGCGGCTCGCGAGGCGGCCGCTGCG